GCAGTAGCTCTTAAGTTTAATTAGATCCCATTTGTCTCTTTTGGCTTTTGTTGCCATTGCTTTTTGTGTTTTAGTCATGAAGTTCTTGCCTCTGCTTATGTCCTGAATGGTACTGCCTAGATTTTCTTCTAGGGTTTTTATGGTGTTAGGTCTTACGTTTAAATCTTTAATCCATTGGTCTTATGTTTAAATCTTTAATCCATCTGGAGTTAATTTCAGTGTAAGATGTCAAGAAGGGGTCCAGTTTCTGCTTTCTGCACATGGCCAGCCAGTTTTCCCAACATCATTTATTAAACAGGGAATCCTTTCCCCATTGCTTGTTTTTGTCAGATTTGTCAAAGATCGGATAGTTGTAGATATGTTGTGTTGCCTCCGAGGCCTCTGTTCTGTTCCACTGGTCTATATTTCTGTTTTGGTACCAGTACCATACTGTTTTGATTACTGTAGCCTTGTAGTATAGTTTGAAGTGCAGTAGTGTGATGCCTCCTGCTTTGTTCTTTTTGCTTAGAAATGACTTGGCTATGTGGGCTCTCTTTTGGTTCCATATGAAGCTTAAGATGTTTTTTTTACAGAACTCTCCATCCCAAATCCATAGAATATACATTCTTCTCAGCACCACATCACACCTACTCTAAAATTGATCATATAATTGTTAGTAAATCACTCCTCAACAAATGCAAAAGAACAGAAATCATAACAGTCTCTCAGACCACAGTGCAATCGAGTTAGAACTCAGAATTTAGAAACTAACTCAGAACCACACAGCTTCATGGAAACTGAACAACTGGCTCTTGAATGTTGACTGGATAAATAATGAAATGAAGGCAGAAATAAAGATGTTCTTCGAAACCAACGAGAACGAAGACACAACATACCAGAATCTCTGGGACACATTTAAAGCAGTCTCTAGAGGAAAATATATAGCAACAAATGCCCACATGAGATGCAAGGAGAGATCTAAAATTGACACCCTATCATCAAAATTGAAAGAGCTAGAAGAGCAAGATAAAAAAAACTCAAAACCTAGCAGAAGACAAGAAATAACTAAGATCAGAGCAGAACTGAAGGAGACAGAGACACAAAAAACCCTTCAAAAAATCTTTTACCTTTAATTTCTTTAAAAATGTGTTGAGGCTATGTTGTAATAAAATTACTCTCAAGTTAAATCATACACGGATGACTGTCCTATTTCCCCCAATATGCCATAAAATCCTTGAAGTCAGAGTAATTTCTCTTGCTACCCACTTACCCATGGCATGAAAATTTCAAATAGTACATGAAGGAAGGAGTGAAATAAAAAATTATTGTTTTTCAGCTTCATTCCTCAATGATAACCACTGGTAAGTTTTTTGTCTCTTTCTCCATGAATGTTTGTGGGCATATACAAACTTTTTCCATTATTCAATACCATGAGCAGAACTTAAAGAAATATAGATATATAGAATTTTAAATAATATCTAGTTTAAGGCAGTATACAAATACATGAATACAAACTACTGCAAAATAAGGGGAGGCTGTGGACATGCCAAGGTAGATCTACTAACTTGCCTCTAGCCACCATTCACACCCGCTCTACCCTCAGGACCTTAGTGGGCAGTGCAGTTAGTGGCAAATGGAGTAACCCTGGCGAGTGAGTCCAGTTTGGTCTCTGACCCACTGAGTGTTCCCTAGCCAATTTACTCCATGTTCCAGATCGCAATTTCCTCTCCTATAAAATGAGAAGATGTTCTTTAAGGTCCATTTGAGAGACCAGGATTGGAGTTGACCAACAGACAGCAAATACAAACAGCCACGCTAAGGCCAAAGACTGTACTCTATGAGTGCCTGAGGCTCAGAAAGAGGAAGAACATCACAGAGAAAATCCATGTAACAGATTTCCAAGAGGAGAAGAATGTAAGTAAGATTGGATCAGTTATTTTCTCTTGATTTCTTGAGACATGATTCATAGGAAAATCCACATCTTGTTTTACCATGTAACAGAGGTAATAAGCAATATACAATGCTCCTGAAGTTTTCTTAGGATACAACAACACTTCAGAAGTAGAAATAGCCCACGTTTATTTACATTGTATTCCCACCAGCATCAGAGAGCTCCTGAGTATTTTTCCATTGCCAAGAGTCAGAGATAAGTCCAATTACATGTAGTAGTGATAAGGCCACAACTTAAGCCATGAGTTAACATCCTAATTCTCATTTGCCACCCCATTTGACAATTAGCTGACTGTGAGGGCAGCAGGAGGTCCCTTCATGCTGGTCATCTTGCTGGCCAGTCTACACTTGCAGCGCTGAGTTAGACTATGGGAACAAATAAATATCCAGGGCAGTAGGGAAGTGATAAGGGAGAAGGCTAAGGAGAGAGAGGGAAATGGCTCAGACAGTAGAACCCTGTTAAACAGATCAATCCTGTTAAACATCCACTTGGCAATCTGACTTCCGGCTAACAGCAGCAAAGCCACTAATAATGGTTTAGATTTCTGGGTCTCATGCAAAGTTGGGAGAAAGGAGTTGGCATTCACAAGTATCTGCTGGATCTTTTTGACATTTTCCAGAGGCAAGATGGGAGCCCGAAGAACAAAGCCTGGAGTTATAGAGCTGTGGCTTCTGCCATGACTAGATAATTACCTAGTCAATTCTGAGCCTCCGTTTGTTCATTTATTTAAAAAGAGATAGACAAAGCCCAGGCACAGTGGCTCACGCCAGTAATCTTAACACTTTGGGAAGCTGAGGCAGGCTGACTGCCTGAGCTCAGAAGTTTGAGGCCAGCCTGGACAACACAGTGAAACCCTGTTTCTACAAAAAATACAAAAAATTAGCCAGGTGTGGTGGCATGCACCTGTAGTCCCGGCTACTCGGGAGGCTGAGGCACAAAAGCCACTTAAACCTTGGAGATGGAGGCTGCGGTCAGCCGAGGCTGCACCACTTCACTCGAGCCTGGGCAACAGTGTGAGTCTCTGCCTCCAAAAAACAAACAAACAAAAAAACCCAGATGGACAAAGCAATACATGCATTATGCTTATTTTTATTATTTGAAACTGGGGAATTCCATGGGCTATCTCCTGTGAAAGACAGGATCCTTGAAAAATAATTCCAAGTAAAACTGAGAAATCACAGCCTAGAAAAGAAGCCATTGCTCACCTGAAAGGAATTCATATGGCGAAGGGATGAAGGCAGATTGGCATTACTCTTCGATAATATCAAAAGCAGCTCCAAGCAGGTTGCAGAGGGCAGGGTTAGGGGGTGGACGCTGATGTCACTTTCCCACGAGCTGAGAAGTCTGGAACACAAGAACACATTAACTTTCAAAAATGCATTATCATAACTATTTTAAAAATCTGATAACAAAAGAAAACTCAATTGTGAGAGAAAAAGGCGAAGTACAAAAACTAGAAATAAACTATATTAAAAATTCACAGAGAACATGCCCAAGACATTTTTATGGTGGTGTTGATATAAAGCAGATGGATCAGGCAATTTTTCAGGCCATCATTTCATACTCTAAAGTATACAGTCACAAATGCAGTCTTAGTTGTGTGGGACCTGCTGGGGGAAGGGGTGGCAGACATTAACAGCTAACACACTGAATGCTTCCTACATTCTATGCCCTGTTCTACATGTAATATCTTGTGTACTCCATGGAAACCTAAGAGAAGGGACTATTGTTATTCCCAGTCTACAGCTATGAAAATTGTTTCTGAGCCGGATAGGCCCTTATGGAACATTTAGCTCAGTGATTTTCAAACTTTAAAAAAGTGACAGAATCCTTTTGTCAAAAAAAATCTTGTGACAGCCCCAACTTATAACACAAATAAAAGCGAAGCTGCTCTGTCTGAAGGGGAAAGGTTAGCAGGAGGCCTCCCTTCATCTTCCAGAGTGGCCCTTGAAGTATCTCTCCCATATCCTGCAGAACCTATTTGAAAATCCTTTCATTTGAGAGATCAGGAAACCAAGGGCTTGAGAAGTAAAGGGATATGTCTGAGATGAGGCAGATGTGTAGAAACTGATATGGCTGGGTCTAGAATCCTGGCTTCCTGGCTCCTCATCTAGTGCTTACACTAAAGGGAAATGTCAAGAAGTAATTATGAGAAAATAAAGCAGTGAGAACAGCATGAGCTTTAGGTTTTCAATTTTTCTATTTACTTATTTCCTGTCTGATCGGCAACCAAAGTGTCTCTTATCACTAATTTTAAAGAAATATGTATATAATATTTATGTTTGTTTATATAAATATATATGTATTTTTTGCCACTTCTATAAACTTCTCTCTACAAAGTGATCTTTAACCAAATCAGTGGTGAATAATGGAAACTTAGAGAGAATCAGTGGTTCGGGGCATAATGGATTTTTAACACTTTAGAGAACAAGTCGTGGCAACTAGTTTTGATGTTTTATCAATCAGGTTACTTATGCTGATACATTTCTGATGTGGGGTGATGGAGTTCACTCTCCTTTGAAGCACTGGCCAACAAGTTGGACAGGAATAAAACACTGGTCATCTTCCTGAAAATGGTCCAATTTTAGTGTGGGGGAGTAAAAGATCACCTCCAACCCCCTTTCAGCTCTTAGTAGGCTCTTCAGTTGCATCTGGGAGCCAAACTGACACCAGGCAGATTAACAAGAGAAAAGTCTACAAATTTTATTAGTTTTACATGTATATGGGGATCTTTACAAGTAAGTGAAGTCCAAAGACGTGGCCAAACCAAGATGTTTTTATACATTTTTAGGCACAGAGTGATAAATATGAGAAAAAATGACAGGACAAAGGAAATCTGGCTAGAGGAAGCAAATGTTCCAGGGGAGTCACCAGAGATATATGGTGGAGGTGTGTAAAGCAGATGGAAGGCAATGTAAATATGTTTATTCAGATCCATTGCAGCCTCCAATTCCAATTCTGGTAATAATCGCTGTTTTGTCACCCTGGTATGGAGAGGTGCCCCTCCCAGAGGAATCTTGATCGCTGCACACAGGAAAAGACAAAGCTTGCCCTTTCTTCTTCTTTTTTTAAGAATAGAACATTTTAATCTTTACATGCAACATGTCAAGACCCCTAATTGTTTTACAAGCTTCCCCCTCTCCCTCCAAAATCTGTATACTAAGTCTTGGCTTACATTGACCTGATTTGTAAAATATTTTCCTCTGTGCACTTTTTCCTTCAGGCTGAGGCTCTTTGCTGATCCATTCACAACAGAAACAGCTCAGCTTTCCTCTGGCAGTACCATTTGAAAGCCCACCAGCCGGCAAACCTGGAATGTACTTTCCACTGCTGGGTCACAGAACTTCATTCTCATCTGCTCTGTAACCCAAGGACTCTATAGCCTCTGAGGTGTAACACCCAAGCTTTTCCTTACAGAAGAGCTGAGATGCTAAAGAGCCCATCTGCAGCATCATCATCAGCTTTTGGGATTTCTTGAGCTCCTACATGGCTTTCTTCAACCACCTGGCCCACTTTCTTCAACCACATTCCACTTTGGAATGGATGTCTTTAAAGCACCAAGTGATCTTAAGAATTGGCTCTGTTTCTTTGAATCCAGAGATCCAAGTTTCTATTTTGGTGGGGCTTCCAAAAACAAACAAACAAACAGGACTGGCACTGTTTCTAATGTAAGGTCTGTCTTTCACACACCAGTTTTGTGTTAGTGACTGCTGAATGCCAGTCCACACCCCTCAAACACCTCACAGTTGCAAACAGGGTGCTCCTACAGGTCCCAGGGTCCTGTTAGGGGAAGAAAGGCAGCTCCAGGAAGTCTTCATCTGGCCTTCATGATAGAAGCAGTTAATCCTCTGGGAAATAGACTTGCAGCCCTGGGAAGAAAAGAGCTGTTCCTCCTTGGGGACATACACCATTATCTTGGCAATTTCATCCAGTGTCTCTTCTGTATGGCTCAGGAAGGCATTCTGTGCATACAGCCTCAAGAAACTCCAATTTCTCCAAAGTTTTCACCTTGAAATAATCAATATACCAATCTGACATAATTTGGGATGGCATGTCCTTCACCCTTTCATAGGCAAAGGCACATTTGTCTTTTCTGTGTTTTAAAAATTATCTTATATTGATTGATTGGCTCTGCTATTCTTTTTGCTTTTACTCATTATATACCATTCTCAACATTTCTCTGCAATGAAAATTAAAATATTGCTGTATTTTCCATAATTCAAACTTAATACTAGAGCAGTGGCTCTAAGCTCACTCTCTACCCCTCCCTCATGCTCCCCATAATCCGCTGTTGTCTTACATACACAGTTAACTGGGCCCAGAAGGCAGTTACCTTTGCTAGTGAATTTCTGTTCATCCTGCAAGATCCACTTACATATCATTTCCTTAGCGATACTGTCCTGTTTCCTTCATAAGAACTTGCCTAATACCATACTTATATCACTCACATACTAGTATATTTAAATACACTTCCATACTTATATCACTTACAAATGCCTTACTAGTGTTGTTATTTGGGATAGGTCTATGTCTCTAATTCTTTCCATATCAGAAACAAGTGATTTCCTCTAATTTTCTCATCTTATTTGGAAGTAAATATTAAAAAGTTGCCTCAATGTTGCTTTTCTGCAGTTACAACCAGGTATTAACCTCTTACTGGCTAAAAGAAATACCTTTTTAATTTTTTTCCCTGACATTTGTATGTTCAATAAAATAACTCAAGTTTTCAGAATTTATACCCCTGCCCCCAACTCCTGTCACCCACAATAGGGTTCACTTCAGCTACCTTCATTCTGAATTTTTTTTTAAAGTGTAGTGGAAAGGTTTTTGCTTTTTCTGAATTGAATCTCTTGCCCTGGATTGTGAATGTTCCGTGGGAACTCATCAGTGAATCTCTAAGATCTACTCCAGGCCCATATGCTTTGGACCTTCCTGAAATGAGGTAAACACTGTAGCCTGGACCACGGCCTGCCAGAGTAGAAAGCATCTCAAGACAGTCACTTTTTCATCATTTTCCACTCCTCTTTGGGCAGTAATAAATTTGCAAGAGAAAGAAAAAATGGTAAATAATGCAAATAAATATTTTGAAGACATAGCTACTTGGTTAATTATGGGTATAACATGGTGGCCTTTAATTTTCACAAAATTACTTCAGTTGTGTAAGCCTAGGGCCTTAGGTTTCTTCTGACTATCATTTACCCTATGCCTAACATATCCAGACACCGGGTAAGGCACTTTAGTTATATTTGCTTCTCTGATCCTAATGCAGCCCTGAATGGCAGGCATCATTCACTCCATTTTAAAGATAAGAAACCAAAGGTGAGAGAAGTTAAGTTATTGTCCAACATCAGGCAGTTGGTAAGTAGTAAGACTAGGATTCAGTCAGGTCAGCCTGAATGCAAAGCCTGTGCTATTCACACCACATCACACTGACTGCTGAGGATACTATATATATTATTATTCTCTCCAGACAAACTATAAATAGGACTTTAATTGCTGAATTTGCTAATGTCTATTTCTTCTGAAGTTAACTCTTTGGCTTGCAAAATATAGTTGAGTATTTTCATCTTATTTTACTCTTTTTAAGATGCTAATTTATGTGTGTGTGTGTGCGTGTGTGTTTACTTCAAAACTTGACTAGGAAGGGTAGTAAGACAGACATTGAAAAACACTTATGTTAGAGTAAGCAAAAATAATAACAATATGGTGAGAAAAAAAGATTAGGGAGCCATACATTCATGGTTATTTCCATTACAAGGAAATAATAATCTGACTTTTACATTTTCTTCTTTATACTTTTAGTTTTCAAGTGTTATTTTTATAATCGGAAACAAGTTAATGTTATGCTGTTGATGTGATTTCTGGTTCAGACAAAACAAATTTTAAATGCTGCATAAAAGTTTCAACATACTGTTAAATGGCTATGGTACAATCTATCAAAAAAAGGATACTAAAATAGAAATAAAAATACATTTGCACCACCTTATCACTCACCAGCGAGTGATCATGGACAAGCACTCTGGAGCGTAGTTTCCTCATAGGACCTTGGAGTCAGGTACACAACCTGTCCAATGTATCAAACTATCAAAATTTATACAAAAGGACATTGTTACACTAATGATAACCACAGTTACAAAAAAGATACAATTTGTTCTCATGTTAGTTACCCTTATCTCTATGTAATTACAGACATTTGCATGGTATGTGAATCCAACATTGGCATTTTAAATTTAATCCTTAAAATATTCTATGATTTAACAATTTTTATTCCCGTTGAAGTCCATAAAGGAAAAGAGTGTTACCTTGATCACAGAGTCAAGATATGATAGGAAAAAAATCTCAAGTAAGACCTTTACCATTTAAATCTCATTCTTTTTAATACACTATGAACAAGGCAAAAGTATATTAGGCATTATTTAATTCCACCCAAAGAGATTAAAAACCTCACAGGCAAGTGACAGGATAAGTTCTAGGTATCTTAAAACACGTATTTTAAAATAACTTGAAGAATCTTATTTTTGAGTAAATAAGATTCTTCAAATTATTTGGGTCTAATATAGCTCAAATTCCTAATGTTCATCCTGCTCTTTCTATTCCCACAGGATGTTTTCCATGAGTCTCAGAATTTATTTCTAATGTTGTAATTTATAAACTTTCTCTGTAAATTATTTTTCTGTAAAAACATATAAAATATTACTTTAATCACAGGAAGCATTCATATATATGAACAAAGAAAGTAACAAAAAATGAAATTGTTTAGGACAGTAAGTATTACAAGTAACTTTCCCTCAAAACTTCAGGTGAAATTTTCATTTTGTTTTGTTTTGTTTTGTTTTTGTTTGTTTGTTTTCCATTTAGGAAGAAATAAAGAAAAGAGAACAAAATAGAAAGAGGAAGAAATGGCTTGCATACTGAATCTATACTATATATCCTAAAACAATCACCAAACTTATTATGTAGAATTTAGGACATATATTGACAAAGCCAGAGGTGTTACTTGCAACTCTGCCCATGACTCACATATTATATTAGACGGAGCTCTCTAGAGAAACAAAACTAATAAGATATATGGGATTTTATTAAGGAGTGTTAACTCACACAATCACAAGGTCCCACAATAGGCTGCCTGCAAGCTGAGGTGCAAGGAAGCCAGTGCCAGTCCCAAAGCTGAAGAATATGGAGTTCAATGCTTGGGAACAGGAAGCATCCAACATGGGAGAAGGATGTAAGCTGGGAGGCTATGTCAGTCTAGCCTTTTCACCTTTTTTTCTGCCTGCTTTATATCCTGGCTGAGCTGGCAGCTGACTAGATGGTGCCCATCCAGATTAAGGGTGGGTCTGCCTTTCCCAGCCCACTGACTCAAATGTTAATCTCCTTTGGTAACACCTTCACAGACACTCCCAGGATCAATAGTTTGCATCCTTCAACATGATCAAGTTGACACTCAGTATTAACCATCACACATAGCAATACAAATGTCTGTTGATACAAGCATTTTAAGAACCATTGGGCAGAATCTGGAATATTTCTGGCATTTCCTACAAAGACATCACAAATTACTGTACCTAAATCAGTAATCATCCACTATAAGTCAATAAGAAAGATATTTCAAAGGGATAATGAACTGAACATCAGTGAAAACTTACTTCTATGACTTTCAAAGTACTGAGAGAGGAAAAGCTTTCCTAGGAGACCAGAACTGACAGCCAGATGATCTTAGTCTAAAAGACCAAAATAAAAGTAGAGGACACACCATCCTTATTTCTAAACCTTGCCTTGTCAAAATTCCCTAGAGAAATAACTATGGCCTATCTACTTTGGAAGAGGCATTGAGAAAGGAAAAAAAGTCACTTTCTATCACTTCTAACAAAACTGGTGAAATTGAGAACAAATCAAACCAATCAATATCAAGAAAAGAACCTGAGGGGGGATGATCCAAGATGGCCGTTTAGGAACAGCTCAGGATTGCAGCTTCCAGTGAAAGTGCAGAGGGTGAGTGGACACTGCATTTTTATTGCCCACAGACTAGGTCATTCCCAGGCGAAGGAGCTCCATGGGTCGCCAGCGCGGCTGTTTCGGCCAGCAAGGCTGTGCCCCGCGCAGCTGCTTAGTCAGCGCCCCGAAGCAGCAGTTCTCCGTACAAAATACAGCGGTCTGGGTGCCCTTTTGTCTGGCAATTGGAGCCACGGGAAGTTGCCCATTCGTCTGATTATAAAGGGGACTGAGCAGGGAACCAGGACAGTAGATTCCAGCGCAAAAAAAGCGCCGCAAATCTCAGTGCTGCTGTTTAAGCCAGCGCAGTGAGTCGCCGCATGGGAAAAAACACAGACCCCGGCGCCTCTTCGATAGGCGACTGGAACACCAACTTAAAAAAAAGAAAAAAAAAAAAGGCTCTGAGGCAGGGAGCCAGGCGATCAGGCTTGGCTGGTCCCACCCCCACAAAAGAACAGCAATCAGAAACTCTCTGTATTGAGAGTTTCACAGCAAGCGCAGCTGAACCCGGGACGGTCCAGCTCTGTGGGGGAGGGGCGTCCGCCATTACCAAGGCAGCCCGCCACTACTGAGGTAGTCAGCCAAAGCTGAGGCAGCCCACCGTTGCCAAGGCAACCCGCCATTGCTTAGGCAGCTGGCCCGTTGCCAAGGCAACCCGCCACTGCAGAGAGGCTCTGCCTTAACAGAGGTAGGCCACCCTTGCCCAGGCAGTTCTAACTACAGCCATATAAACAGAACTGCAGGGAAGTTCACTCGGCAGCTGGGCAGAGCCCACCACAGCTCAGCAAAGCCTCTACAGGCAGACAGTGACTAGGCTGCCTCCTTGCTGGGCAGGGCAGCTCTGAAGGAAAAAAAAAGAAGGCAGCAGCATAATGGAAACTCATAAAGCCCTAAATCCCTGGGACAGAGCACCTGGGAACAAAAAGCGGTTTATGAATTCTGCTGCAGCAGACCTAAACGTACCTCCCAGCAGCTCTGAATGAACAATGGAGCTCACAGCTCAGCATTTGAGCTCCTATAAAGAAGAGACCGTCTCCTCAAGCAGCTCCCTGACCCCTGTATATCCAAAGAGCCACCTCATAAAGGAGAGATCAGATTGACACTAGGCGGGTATCCTGGGACAAAGACAGCAGAAGAAGAAAACTGGTAACAACCCTTACTGTTCAGCAGCTGCTGCAGGTGATCCCCAGGCAAGCAGGGCCTGGAGTGGACCTCAGCAGACCTACAGCAGAGGGGCCAGACTGTCAGAAGGAAAACCAAGAAACAGAAATAACCTCATCATCAACAAACAACGTCCACTCAGATACCCAATCTGAAAGCCAGCAACTGCAGAGACGACAGGTGGATAAATCCATACAGATGGGAAGAAACCAGCGCAAAAAGGATTAAAACACCCAAAACCAGAACACCTCTCCTCCTACAAGGGATCACAACTCCTCACCAGCAAGGGAACAAGGTTGCAGGGAGAACGAGTGTGATGAAATGACAGAATCAGACTTCAGAAGGTGGGTAGTAAGAAACTTATGTGAACTAAAAGAACATGTTCTAACCCAATGCAAAGAAACTAAGAACCTTGAAAAAAGATTTGATGAAATGCTAACGAGAATGGACAAAATAGAAAGGAATATAAATGAACTGATGGAGCTGAAAAACACAACACGAGAACTTCACAAAGCATGCACAAGTATCAACAGCCGAATTGACCAAGCAGAAGAAAAGATATCAGAGGTTGAAGATCAACTCAATGAAATAAAATGGGAAGGCAAGAATAGAGAAAAAAGGGTAAAAAGGAATGAATAAAGTCTCCAAGAAATGTGGGACTATGGGAAAAGACCTAATCTACATTTGATAGGCGTACCTGAATGCGATGAAGAGAATGAATCCAAGCTAGAAAATACTCTACAGGATATTATCCAGGAAAACTTCCCCAACCTAGCAAGGCAGGCAAATATTCAAGTCCAGGAAATACAGAGAACACCACAAAGATATTAGTCAAGAAGAGCAACCCCAAGGCACATAATTGTAAGGTTCACCAGGGTTGAAATGAAGGAGAAAATACTAAGGGCAGCCAGAGAGAAAGGTCGGGCTACCCACAAAGGGAAGCCCATCAGACTCACAGCAGATCTCTCAGCAGAAACCCTCCAAGCCAGAAGAGAGTGGGGGCCAACATTCAACATCCTTAAAGAAAAGAACTTTCAACCCAGAATCTCCTATCCAGCCAAACTAAGCTTCATAAGTGAAGGAAAAATAAAATCCTTCGTGAACATGCAAGTACTCAGAGATTTCGTCACCACCAGGCCAGCTTTACAAGAGCTCCTGAAAGAGGCTCTACACATATAAAGAAACAGCTAGTACCAGCCACTCCAAAAACATGCCAAATGGTAAAGAGAATCAACACAATGAAGAATCTGCGTCAACTAATGGGCAAAACAGCCAGCTAGCACCAAAATGGCAGTATCAAATTCACACATAACAATATTAACCCTAAATGTAAATGGACTAAATGCCCCAATCAAAAGACACAGACTGGCAAATTGGATAAAAAGCCAAAACCCATCGGTGTGCTGTATCCAGGAAACCCATCTCACATGCAAGGATACACAAAGGCTCAAAATAAAGGGATGGAGGAAGATTTACCAAGCAAATGGAGAGCAAAAAAAAGCTGGAGTTGCAATTCTCATCTCTGATAAATTAGACTTTAAAGCAACAAAGATCAAAAGAGACAAAGAAGACATTACATAATGGTAAAAGGATCAATGCAACAAGAAGAGCTAACGATCCTAAATATATACGTGCCCAATACAGGAGCACCCAGATACATAAGGCAAGTTCTTAAAGACTTACAAAGAGACTTAGACTCCCACACAATGAGAGTGGGAGACTTTAACACCCCATTGTCAACATTAGACAGATCAACCAGACAGAAAATTAACAAGGATATCCAGGACTTGAACTCAGACCTGGACCAAGCAAACCTAATAGACATTTACAGAACTCTCCACCCGAAAGCCACAGAAAATACATTCTTCTCAGCACCACATCACACCTACTCTAAAATTGACCACATAATTGGGAGTAAATCACTCCTCAGCAAATGTAAAAGAACAGAAATTATAACAAACAGTCTCTCAGACCACAGTGCAATCAAGTTAGAACTCAGAATTCAAAAACTAACCCAGAACCGCACAGCTTCACGGAAACTGAACAACTTGCCTTTGAATGTTGACTGGATAAACAATGAAATGAAGACAGAAATAAAGATGTTCTTAAAAACCAACGAGAATGAAGACACAACTTACCAGAATCTCTAGGACACATTTAAAGCAGTCTCTAGAGGAAAATATATAGCTATAAGTGCCCACGTGAGAAGCAAGAAGAGATCAAAAATTGACACTCTATTGTCAAAACTGAAAGAGCTAGAGAAGCAAGATCAAAAAAACTCAAAGTCTAGCAGAAGACAAGAAATAGCTAAGATCAGAGCAGAACTGAAGGAGACAGAGACACAAAAAACCCTTCAAAAAATCAGTAAATCCAGGAGCTGGTTTTTTGAAAAGATCAACAAAATAGACAGACCACTAGCCAGATTAATAAAAAAGAAAAGAGAGAATAACCAAATTGATGCAATAAAAAACAATAAAGGGGGTATCACCACAGAGTCCACAGAAATTCAAAACCATCATCAGAGATTATTACAAACAACTCTATGCACATAAACTAGTAAACCTGGAAGAAATGGATAAATTCCTGGACACTTGCCTCCTCCCAAGCTTAAACCAGGAAGAAGCCGAAACCCTGAACAGACCCATAATAAGGTCTGAAGTTGAGGCAGCAATTAAGAGCTTACCACCCAAAAAAAGCCCAGGTCCAGATGGGTTCACAGCCGAATTCTACCAGACATACAAAGGGGAGCTGGTACCATTCCTTCTGAAACTATTCTAAACAATACAAAAAGAGGGAATTCTTCCAAAATCATTTTATGACACCAACATCATCCTGATTCCAAAACCCGGCAGAGACTCAACAAGAAAAGAAAACTTCAGGCCAATATCCATGATGAACATAGATGCAAAAATCTTCAATAAAATACTGACAAGCCGATTGCAACAGCACATCAAAAAGCTTACCCACCATGATCAAGTAGGCTTCATCCCGGGGATGCAAAGATGGTTCAATATACGCAAGTCTATAAACATAATTTACCATATAAACAGAACCAAAGACAAAAACCACATGATTATTTCAATTGATGCAGAGAAGGCCTTTGACAAAATTCAACAGCCCTTTATGCTAAAAACCCTCAATAAGCTAGGTATTGACGGAATGTATCTCACAATAATAAAAGCTATTTATGACAAACCAACAGCCAATATCATACTGAATGGGCAAAAACTGGAAGCATTCGCCTTGAAATGTGGCACCAGACAAGGATGCCCTCTCTCACCACTCCTATTCAATATAGTACTAGAAGTTCTAGCCAGAGCAATCAGGCAAGAAAAAGAAATAAAGGGTATTCAAATAGGAAAGGAGGAAGTCAAATTGTCTCTATTTGCAGACGACATGATTGCATATCTAGAAGACCCCATCGTCTCAGCCCAAAATCTCCTGAAACTGTTAAGCAACTTCAGCAAAGTCTCAGGATACAAAATCAATGTGCAAAAATCACATGCATTCCTATACACCAATAACAGACTTAAAGAGAGCCAAATCAAGAACAACCTTCCATTCACAATTGCCACAAAGAGGATAAAATACCTAGGAATACAACCAACAAGGAATGTAAAGGACTTCGTCAAAGAGAACTACAAGCCACTGCTCAACGAAATAAGAGAGGACACAAACAGATGGAGAAACATTCCATGTTCATGCTTAGGAAGAATCAATAGCGTGAAAATGGCCATACTGCACAAAGTAATTTACAGATTCAATGCTATCCCCATCAAGCTACCAATGATCTTCTTCATAGAACTGGAAAAAACCACCTTAAACTTCATATGGAACCAAAAGAGAGCCCGCATAGCCAAGTCAATTCTAAACAAAAAGAACAAAGTGGGAAGCATCACACTACCAGACTTTAAACTATACTATAAAGCTACAGTAATCAAAACAGCATGGTACTGGTACCAAAACAGAGATATAGACCAATGGAACAGAACAGAGGTCTCGGATGCAACGCAACATATCTACAACCATCTGATCTTTGACAAACCAGACAAAAACAAGCAATGGGGAAAGGATTCCCTGTTTAATAAATGGTGTTGGGAAAACTGGCTAGCCATGTGCAGAAAGCAGAAACTGACGCCTTCCAGACACCTTACACTAAAATTAACTCCAGATGGATTAAAGACTTAAACATACGGCCTAACACCATAAAAACCCTAGAAGAAAATCTAGGCAAAACCATTCAGGACATAGGTGTAGGCAAGGACTTCATGACAAAAACACCAAAAGCATTGACAACAAAAGCTAAAATAGACAAATGGGACCTAATCAAACTCCACAGCTTCTGCACAGCAAAAGAAACAGTCATTAGAGTGAATCGGCAACCAACAGAATGGGGAAAATTTTTGCAGTTTACTCATCTGACAAGGGGCTGACTAAAAGAGATTTACAAGAAAAAAGCTAACAAGCCCATTCAAAAGTGGGCAAAGGATATGAACAGATACTTTACAAAAGAAGACATACATGAGGCCAACAAACACATGAAAAAATGCTCATCATCACTGGTCATCAGAGAAATGCAAATCAAAACAACATTGAGATACCATCTCATGCCAGTTAGAATGGCAATCATTAAAAAATCTGGAGACAACAGATGCTGGAGAGGATGTGGAGAAATAGGAACACTTTTACACTGTTGGTGGAAGTGTAAATTAGTTCAACCATTGTGGAAGACAGTGTGGCGATTTCTCAAGGACCTAGAAATAGAAATTCGATTTGACCCAGCAATCCCATTGCTGGGTATATATCCAAAGGATTATAAATCGTTCTACTATAAGGACACGTGCACATGAATGTTCACTGCAGCACTGTTTACAATAGCAAAGACCTGGATCCAGCCCAAATGCCCATCGATGATAGACTGGACAGGGAAAATGTGGCATATATACACTATGGAATATTATGCAGCCATCAACAATGATGAGTTTGTGTCCTTTGTAGGGACATGGATGAACCTGGAAACCATCATTCTCAGCAAACTGACAGAAGAGCAGAAGATCAAACACCGCATGTTCTCACTCACAGGTGGGTGTTGAACAATGAGAACACATGGACACAGGGAGGGGAGCACTACACACTGGGGTCAGTTGGAGGGAAACAGGGGAGGGACGGTGGGGGGTGGGGAGCTGGGGAGAGATGGCAAGGGGAGAGATGCCAGATGTAGGTGATGGGGAGGAAGGCAGCAAATCACACTGCCACGTGTGTACCTATGCAACAATCTTGCATGTTCTTCACATGTACCCCAAAACCTAAAATGCAATAAAATAAATAAATGGGGAAAAAAAAAAAAAAGAACCTGAGTAAATAGAAAGGTAATATAGTCTTCTAGGAAACATGGAGGTCACTTAATGTAACACAGGTTAAAATGACAAATAGAAATGATATAACAACATTACCAAAATTAAAATATTTAAAAGGAATCCAACATATTATTGTGTAGAGAAGAAAAAAAATGATATGTATAAGAGAGCACAAGATAAAAATATTTAACTTAAACCTAGTTTCTCATATTTTAGTAGATAATTTGAACTCTTCAACCCTAGAATAACCTAAGAAAGCAAACAGCCTACTAAAGATACTGAAATATTATGTTGTTTATATCTATAGATTTTAGGTACTCAATTTCAAAGCTGTATCAATGATACATCCATCAATTTAAGCTGTCAAACTAGCAAAACAAGCAAATGACAAGTTAGTAATAACATTTTTATAAACATTTACCTATTTAATACATAATCAAAATTTTTAAATTCTTATAAGTCACTCAGGAATACAACATTTTAAAACAACTAAATGTATTGGAATGTCTGTCTGATAAGCCATTTGACTGCATTATACTTAAAATATTTCAAAAGCATTAATTCAATAAAAATCCACCCTGAAAACATGCACATACCAACTATTGTTTATCTACATAAAGTTCATTAAGTAATGAACAGTATCTATAAGAAAATCTTTCTTGAAAATTACAGAAGAAAAATTTGATCTTTTAAAATCACAAATGCCAAAACTGGTCTTTAATTCTCTTTGAATGAAAGGGATCTTAAGAGAATTTAAGTACACAGTTCCTGAATGCTATACTTTTCAAACTTTGTCCATATGACCTGTAAGCTTGTCAAGTCGAGTCTTCCACACATCAGAAAGCATGGGGAAAATGGCTCTCATTTAAATAAGATACCAATAAGGCAGTCTCAAAATTAAATGTATTACTTCATGCCAAAAAATAAGAAATTTTGTCTTTTACAAATACCTGTATCATTGCAAGACACCAGTTATTGAGAATGCAGAAATTAGACTGAGAACACTTTCATTAAAGAGAATCCATGCTACAAACAAACCTGCCAGAAACTTCATAATTAGAAGTGATATCATTAAGAACATAATAATTAGAAGTTCATCTAAAGAGGCCAGCTACTTCTTCAAATTTAATAAAAATTTTTCATTATGGAAAATTTCAAATATATGAAAATAAGAGAGAAAAGTATAATAAACCCCATGTACCCAAGACCCAGCTTCAAGCCATCATTTTCACATAGCCAACTTTGTTTTATTTGTATCCCCACACACTGCCCCATAACCCCTCTGAATTATTTTGGAGGAAATCCCAGACAACATGTCATTCATTTCATAAGGAAATAATTCAGTATGTATCTTTAAAGATAAATTCTTTTAAAAAGAATACCCATAATATAATTTATTATACTTTGAAAAAAGTAACAGTTCTTTCACATCAAGTCTGTAGTTAGTGCTCAAATATCCTCAACTGACTCATTAATTTTTTTACAGTTTGTTTGAGTTTGGACTAACTAAGAGCCACATATGGCAACTGATTGATTTGTCTTTTAAGACATTCCTAATCTATATGCCACATATCGTATGATTCCATTTATATAAAATGCTCAAAATAGGCAAATCCATAAAGACAGAAAGCAGATTAGGGGTTGTCAGGGGCTGGAAGGAGGAATGGGGAGTGACTGCTAGTGGGCGGAGTTTCATTTTGGGGTGATGGAAATATTTTGAAATTGGATAGTCATAATAGCACAACCTTGTGAATATACTTAAAAACCACTGAACTGTGCCCTTTAAAAGAGAGAATTTTATGGCATGTATATTACATTTAAATTTAACAAAAAAGAAATTTGTAGAAAAATTAAGTCATCTCTAAGGATACCTATAAATCTATTCAGCCCTTTCTTATCAAGATGGAAGAATGTTGAATGCATTCATTTAATTATGTAACAGTAAACTAGCGGAAAGAGTAAATATTCCCAGCAGAATCTCAAACGCATTATGGTTGCAATTGTAATTAATTCTAGAAAATTTTTACTTGCAATCAAAATGTGAGACAAATTGGGCCTCTATACCATGTAGTTCACTACCTTAAAAATATTTTCTACACGTTTATTTTTACTTTATTAATCTTTTATTTCCATTCCCTGACTCAAATGGGAAAATCAAGCTCCAAATGATTTACTCTGTCAAGCTGGTATTTGCTCTCCCTTGTCCTTCATTTTTTCCATTTTAAATATTTAAACCATTTATTCCCACTTTTTGTTCTGAGATGATTGCAGCATCACATGCGTTTGTAAGAAATAAAGTGATGCTGTCTATTCTTCACCCAGTTTTCCCCAATGGTAACATTCTGGATAACTACATCAACATTGATATAAATCACCAACCTTTTTAAACCTCATGTATAAACACGCATTCATTTGTGTGTTTCTGTGTGTATTTACTTCTAGGCAATTTTTTTTTACATGTACAGATTCATGTGGCCACATTAACACTGAACTACTGATCCATGACAAGGATCTCTTAAGGTAACTCTTAAGAGGCACAGCCACCTCCCTTCCTCATCTCCTCTACTCCCTACCTAGGGCAATCACTAATCTGTTCTTCATCTCTGTAATTTTGTTATTTCAAGAATGTTACATAAGTAGAATCATATAATATGTAGTCTTTTTTTTTTTTTTTTTTTTTTTTTTTACTTAGCATACTTCTCTCAGGATTCATCCAAATAATTGTATCAATAGTTTATTTATTTTTTCTTTTTTAAAAAGAGATGGGGTCCTGCTCTGTCACCTAGGCTGGTGTGCAGTGGCATGATCATAGCTCACCGTAACTTTGAATTCCTGGGCTCAAGTGATTCTACCACCTCAAACTCCTAAGAAGCTGGTTCTAGAGGCATGTGCTACTACAACAGGCTAATTTATTTTTTAAAATTTAAGAGATGGATCAATATATTGCTGAGGCTGGTTTCAAACTCCTGGCCTCAAGCAATCCTCCTGCCTCAGTCTCCAGAGTTGGTGCAATTACAGGTTACTCAACTCCATATCCAGCTTTCATTCCTTTTTATAAACTGAATAAATTTCCATGGACTATAAACACAGTTGTTTATCCATTCATCTACTGAAGGACATTTGGGCTGATTTCAGTTTGGGACTATTATAAATAATAGCTATGAGCTGCTATGAACATCTGTGTACAAGTTTTAGGGTGAACATTAAGTTTTCATTTCTCCAGGATAAAAGGCCCCAAAATCCAATTGCTGGGTGATATGATATGCACATGCTTAAAATGTTCTTAATTTTAATGTAATCAAGCTTTTTACATTTTAAAAGCTTACCATTTTTGGTGTCCTGTTTAAGAAATATTTGCCAAATCTCATGTTGTACTGATTCACCCCCTTTTACCCTCCCTCGCTTCTCCCTATTTCCCCTCCCCTCCCCCACATCATTGATCTCTCACTTTTAATGGCCACTCTCTGCCCTCTAATCAACTGCTCTGGCACTACTAATCCACTCTCTTTAATAGTTATATAATATGTCAAGGTATGTGTGTCTAAAAACTGTACCTTAGTTATCTTTGCTCCCAGTTTTCTTTCCCTGTTATGAACAATGCTACAATAATGTCCTTGCTTACATTTCCTTACATTCTGGTACTTTCAATTGTTAGGAATAGAGTTTCAAGAGTGGTAATATCAGATTGAGGTATATATGCATTTTTAAATTTTAATAGATATTTCTGGAAAGTCTGTGCCAATTCACATTTCCACAACCAGTCATGAGAGTACTTTTTGCCTCATACTCTTTCCAACAGTGAACTAACAGTTGAAATTTTTAAAGTTTGATGGAAGTAAATGTATTCTGTGCTATTCATCTGGTTTATATTTGCTTAATACTAATGAACTTGAGTTTCTTTTCATATATTTGTTGGCTGTTTGGATTTGCTTTCTGTGAATTGCATTTTAAAAATTTTATCTTATTTTTAAATTCAGTTGCAGAGGTGTTTCACTGTACAGCTTCAGGAATGCCATCAGTAGCCTTAATTATTAGTCCTTTTCTCATCAGTTTGTAAGTAATACGTAAAATCAAATTATAAATGGCAAAACATACAATTATTGTAATTGAAATCAGGAAGTAGAGAGGAGTGGTCACTGTCATTATTGATTAACATTTTCTTATAAAGGAGATGTTAAAATTAATCCCCTTTTCCCCTGGTAATATGACTGTTTTACCTAGAAAGCCTGAGATGCTATGTTAACAAGAGTAAAAAAAAATGTGGCCAAGATAACTATGTAAAAAGCAAGAATCTCTATTCCACAGGGCAGGGGTGGGGATGAGGTGGGGTGGGGTGGAAGTGAGCCTAAAAATAGTAAGCAAAAACATTCCTCTTTTACAACAAGAACATCATGGTAAAAATACTTAGAAACAGGCCAGTGCCGTGGCTCACGTCTCTAATCCCAGCACTTTGGGAGGCTGAGGTGGGCAGATCGCTTGAGCTCAGGAGTTTCAAACCAGCCTCAGCAATATAGTGAATATCTCTATTAAAAATACAAAAAAATAGCCTGGCATGGTGGCACACACCTGTGGGCTCAGCTACTTGGGAGGCTGAGGTAGGAGGATCCCTTGAGCCCAGCGGGTAGAGGTTGCAGTGAGCCAAGATCATCTCACTGCACTACACACCCAGCAACAGAGTGGACCCTCTCTAAAAACAAAACAAACTTAGAAGTAAAAATTAACAAAAAATACAAAGAGCCTGCAGAAATTAAACTATATAACCTTACTCAAGAACATAAAACAAGACATGAAAGAATAGAAAGATATACTTAAATCATAAGTGTCAGTGGTCCCAAAACTTATATTTTAATTTAATGCCATTTCAGTCAGAATCCCAAAGGGGTTGGTTTTCATCAGAACTGGATAAAATAATATTACTTGTAAGAATAAATGTTTGAAAATGACCATGGAAAAAAGAATGCTGGTAGGCATACTTGCTTTCTGGACTAAAACGTACAATAAAACCAATGTAATCAAGTTAACGTGGTGTTGATATAGAGGCAGACAAATAGATCCATGGAACAAATCACAAAATCCAAAAGTAGACCCTACTGAAATGTAACATATTTCCTTGGTATTTACTCATGATATACTATGACAATTTAAGGACAGAAAAATTGATCATTTATTAAGAGTGATAGTTCAAATAACTGCTCATCTGGAAGAAAATAAATTTAAATACCTGTATCATTTTTAAAAATAAATTCAAGATGTATTACAGGCATATATGGAAACATAAAATAAATCGTGCTAAAAAAAATCTAAAAAAACTACAAACCCATAATCTACACGGGTTTTATAATTTTTAAAAATTGTATTGGTAACAAAAAAATTTTACATCACAGGCAGACAGCAGAAACCCCTTATTGACAGAAAGAACTCCTACAAATTTATAAAAAGAGGACAAAGGACAGATTTCATTTTTTAAAAGGTTTCCAAGTAGTGATTTTTAAACAATTTTGAAGGTCGTAGGTCTCAATGACAATATGGTTAAAACTAGGGACTCTCTCCCCTCAACAACATTCATCTTTACGAAGAACATTTTGCATATAATTTTGGGTGTTTCTCAGATCACCCCTGTCTCCAAGTCCATTCATTCCCTTCTTTGATATAAATGGAATCATACACTATGTGGCCTTTTTGGTCTGGCTTCTTTCACTTAGTATAATGTTTTCAAGATTCGTGGACCCCTGAGTAAGGATCACTGCTTTTCGGTCAAAATTCTCTTTTTCTAATTTACAATTTTTTGACAAAATAATTTAAACAGCTCCATTTTGAACTAATTATATATCATAATATTTGTTAGCATATTAATAAATATAATCATTTAGGAAAAGTTTTCAAAAAGCAAGTCTCTTGGCTCACATTTTTACTATGTTCTATTATACTACCAGAGGAGATCAGTTAAAAACTTAGGAGGCTGAGAAATGCATTTCCAATTCTCTAATCACCCTCCTGAGTAACTGGCAGTCAAAGTATGTGGGTTGAGACATAATTAATTAGGTCCACTCTAATAACATTCTCATAAGAAAATCTGACACTTGGCATTACTAGATTCCCTGTCTCATAGGGGCCAACCCAGCTGACACTTTCATTAATCAGCATTATCCACTCTGTCCCAAAGTGGAAGTCCTTTGCCAGTATGAATACAAAGTGTTTAGGATGCATAGGTACGAAGCAAGGATTTAAGTTTTTCTTTCTTTCTTTCTTTCACTTTTTTTAGAGACAGGGTCTCGTTATGTTGCCCAGGCTAATCTGGAACTCCTAGCCTCAGGTGATCCTCCTGTCTTGACCTCCCAAAGTGCTAGGATTATAGGTATAAGTATAGTGGCCTTTTTATTTTTATAAATAGCTCTTGATGTCTTTTTTTAGCTTATTTTAGCAAGAAAGAATTTTAAAAAGATACATCAGGAAATATGTTGACATTATTAACGTGGATATTATCTGTATTGATAAAATGGCATTACTTATTTATAAATGCTTTATTTGGAGTTGTATTAGAGATATTCTAGATGTTTGATGTTTTCTTCTTTGATGATTTCCTAGACCTCGTATAACAATTAGGTTCTCTTAATTTTAAAATTCAAATTGGTTGG